CCGTAGCCGTAGCCGTAGCCGTAGCCTTAGCCGTAGCCGTAGGAGTAGTAGTAGTAGTAGTAGTAGTAGTAGTAGTAGTTAGTAGGAGCAGTAGTAGTAGTAGTAGTAGTAGCAGCAGCAGTACTTACGTACCACGACTACCACTACCACCAGTACTACTACTGCCACCACTACTACTGCTGCTGCTACTACTGCTATTTCTACTAGCAGGGTTTAGGTTTTTCGGGTTTAGTCTCTAGAGGCAGTGCTGTTTTTTGTCTACGGGTCTCTTTGTGGTCACTATAATGGTTGCCAGGATCCCTAAGACCGAAAAAAGCCGGTCAAACTTTCGAGGAAACCCGAGCCCCCGTCACGTGGGTGCAGTTCCCAGATGGTTACAAAAACTACCTACAGCACCACACCATTACCGCCGTCACCACCCCACGACGACGACGACTAGTACTACTACTGCTTCTACAACTGCACTGCTTAAGGGTTTAGTATTTATGTTCGTTCTTGAGGTGCCTGACGTTGGTGTCAGGAGTGATCCCTCATAGATGGAATTTGGAATCTCGGTGTTGCTCAGGTTGGACGCATGCAAAGCTGGAGGCCAACATTACACTGCAGGCAGGATGCAAACAATGTGTTTGCAGACCCTCAGTGCTCTGTAGCAAAACATTGGGGTTTTCATGCATTCACTCATTCATTCACTCGTTCATTCATCATGTTTGAGATGAATCCTAATGATACTGGCGCTTAGGATCTTGACATCCTCAACCCCAAGCCCCATTTTGCCTGCTCATCGTCTGTTCAACCCAGCAATCCCCCCTCGAACGGTAAAGCACGCACGATCTGTAGACGAAAGAGATGATGATGATAATGATGATGATGATGTGTTTCGTTGCAGCTCATGACACTGATCTCAGCTACTCCTAGTCCTACTCCTACACCAGCAGCTTACTACCTACTACCAACTGCCACGACTAGTACTATTACTACTACTAGTACAAGTACTACGACTGGTACTACTACTACGACGCTTGCGACTACTACTACGACTATTGCTACTACGACGACGACGACTACTACTACTCCTACTGCTACGACGAGCACTACGAGTATTACTAGAACTAGTAGTATTACTAGAAATACCAGTGCTACTGGCAATACTAGTAAACCAATCAAATCATATGAATAGTACTACCAGTAGCACCAGCAATACCGGTAGCACCAGCAGTGCTAGTGGTACTAGTAGCACTGGTTGTTCTAGTCGCACTAGCATCACGAGTAGCACTAGCAGTACTTGTGGTACTGGTAGCAGTAGCAGCACGAGTAGCACTAGCAGCGCTAGCAGCAGTAGTGGCGCTAGCAGTTTTAGTGGCGCTCTTGGATTTTGCTTCTGCTACACCGCTTCCCTATTGTTGCAATTACAGTACTACTGCTGCTACTGCTACTGCTACTGCTGCTGCTACTGCTACTGCCACTGCTACTGCTACTACTGCTACTACTGCTACTACTGCTACTACTGCTACTACTGCTACTACTGGTGCTGCTGCTACTACTGCTCCTGCTCCTGCTCCTGCTCCTGCTCCTGCTCCTGCTCCTGCTC